CATCTCTGATTTTCGCCTTATCGAACAGGACGAAATCGATCTTGTTCTTCGTTACTGCATCGGGCGCCGCCCACTACTGGTCTTTTTCTTGAACCTGGTATTACTAACTGTAGACGTATTTCGCTTCTGCCATGCTCACCAGCCGATTTCCTGCCTTTTGGTGCAGTATCAACCGATGAACTTTTCACCGGGCCTTCCTTGAAGCAGATAGTCCAGAACAGATTTATTATAATTAAATAATTTGTCATAATTAAAGTTAGAGAAAAATAGTTAAATACCAGTAAATAAGAAACTCACTTCTTTGCTTTGTCGTCGTCTGAAAGGATGGGAATTTCAACGAAGCTCTTTAGATAAGGCCACAAAAAAGAATAAAATATTTCCGGGAATACGGAGAGCCTGTATTTGTCTAAGTACTGCTCGGCGGTCAGTCGTTGGCTGACCTCCAGCTGAATCATGCTCTGAACCAATTCTCGAAGGGCTGCACATTTAATGGTGTTTATCACCTTGTCAGGATAATATCGGCGCTCGCGGTATGCCAATAATTGACTGAAATCAAACGGCGGGGTGCCGTCGGAAAATAGCTCCAAAAGAACACATCTGAAAAACGAAGAATTTGTTAACGAATACACTGAGGCGCCCAATCGAATGCAAATACCCGGTAGAAAATATATCCCCGGAATGAAGCAGAGGAAACTTCGCATTTTGAATCAGATCATCTGGGAACAAGTTTCCGGATGTGGCGGCATCACTGGTATCCACGAAACGCTCAGGGGCGATGTAGCATATCCTGCGTCGGCTGGTGTCGAAGAAATAAGTGAAATTTGTTGGGTTATTCTGAAACGGTATGCACAATGAAATCGTGATCTGGTGTCACTTCCGGTACAACCTCCTTACGTAAGGCAAGTGAGAGGGTTTGAAGTTGGCAAAATCGGTCAGCAAAGTCCACGTTGAACTGGTAATCAGCACGTTCTCGCATTTGATGTCGCCATGGCAAATCTGAAGATCATCCTCAATTTTTAAAATCATCCAAAGATCATCTTTTTTAAACTTGGAATCAAAAGTTCCTACGACTTACGTCAGCTCGATGACATTGTTCAAGAGCCTTCAACAGCTGAAACGCGATCCACAGCTTTTCTGTCTCAGTTAGAAACGGACGCGTACTCAATCGGTCGTACAAATTGTCCTTCAAGTATTGACGTACAAGAATCGCTGCTTTTGGCGTTATCTATGAAAGCTGACTACTGTGAGCGCAAGTACACATAAATATTATTAAAGCTCATACGAATGTCCGAGAAAATGGCAGGCAGTTCGGTGCCTCCCTTAAGATGGCGTATATGTCTACAAATGTTCGAATTTAGCAGCAGGTCAAAATCAAAATATCATATAAATAGAATGCGGACGATTACAAAAGGTGAGAGATTTAAAATATCTAAACTAAACATGAAATAATTTTAAGTGATAAACTATATTTGTTCTGGCAACTGATTCATCAGAAGGACTTCCCTTACAGAGACTGACTGTACATATAAAAGGCAAACAGGAAAGCGTAACCGTTGGAACGTCGCTCTTCTATACACATTCGTGATGAAATCATTTCTGGCGCAATTCGTTTTATGAAGTTAACGGTAAGAAATACTGTTCTCCATTTCCATGCTATCAATCAGTAGTGCCTTGTCTTAAAGGCAACTCGAAATCAACTAGGTGGCAAGCATAGTGTAGTCCTTATTATTTTTCAGAAAGAGGTACTCATTTATCAATCTCAGAAGGAACAAAAGTGACTGACCTGCCTGGGACTCGAACCTGGTAAACCTCCGTTTTGAATCCGACGCTCTATTATCTGATCAACTCTGATGGTACATATAGGCGTTGATCTTGCACTGTCATTGGATTGTTTTGCTCTTTTGTAAAGTGTTATGCGAAAATCATTGGTGCTGATATCAGCCTGCATTTTTCAATCGAATAAACCACTCCCGTGTGGTTGTGTGTGCATTTTTGCAGTGCTTTCTTGCGCACCGTAAAGGGACAGCTACTAGCAGTAGTGATCAGACAAATCTCATGAGCAGGACCACTGTTAAGTTCCCCAAACCTAATGATTCCCATAAGATTGCAAAACGATCTCACCTACTGCACAAACAGGAGCACTGGAAGTAGTCTGAACTGACAGATCGAAAGTTTGCCGCCAATTTTCTCTTTATGTCAGAACTGAACAAACCTTGCACGGCGTGGACATGGTGAATGCTTTGGCCCGGAGTTACGCACAATTCTACCCCAATATCGAAGATTTCGAGCTTTAAAATGCAGAGTCAGCAACCAAGATAGGATTGCTTGAGCTATATCGAAAAACAGAGACAACTTAACTTCTTGCGCAACTGAATCGCAGGAGGGTCGATCAGATTTTCAGCAGGATCGGCACATCAGATACTGAACAAGCTTATGCTGACCAGATCTGGTCGGTTATTCTGACAGTAGGCTAGCTCAAAATGTAGCTGGTCTTCTCTATTGTTGAACATGTGCGCAAATCCGTGTTTTACAACGGCCTGTGTTAAGGAAAGAGTTGAGACTGAATGTTTGTAAAATTTGAATGTATGCCTCCTATTCTTACAATACACCTTCCAACTGCAGTAAAGAAGCGAAATAAATTGCCAAACTAATAAGATGTAAATAATCAAAAAGCAAATAGGCAACATATACAAAACAAGTACGTAATTACTAAAAGATAAATTGACAAGGACATACCATTAATTCGCGACTGATAAGGCTTAAGAGGCAAGCTAGGGTCGTTTATGATGAAAACTTTGATCACGCAGTAACCCTCGCTGAAAACAAAAAAAGTCAAGGCCTTAATAAAATATACGTTTACAGAAAACAAAAACAGTGCATTTAAAGAGAAGCCCCCACACTTCAAATTAATCAGGTCTGAGTGCATATTAACTTATGAGGCATATTTATGGCGTATTCAGCACGCAATCATTACAAGCAAGTGTCAAAAAGTTCAATAAATAAAAAAGATTTAAAGGCTTTACACCATAAAAAATATTATACATCAGAATGATGCCAAACACAACAAGAAACAACAGAAGCATTCAAAAATATGAAGATTCCCTATAAAACTGCGATATCACAGATAAATGAGAAATATCACCATGTAAACCAATTATATACCACTTCTCCGTCCAGAAGTATTTCTTAAAGATTTCTTGATGTGTCATTATGACGATAAGAAACTCAACCCTAGTCCGTAACTTTGACTGAGAAACAAGTGGCTGAGAATCAATAAAAGACATGTAACTTGACATGGCACCAAGTTTCGCTGACTACTCCTCCAACCCAATTATGACATCAACTTTTGTTCACTCGGTGTAAACATCACAGGATCATAATTAAAGAAAAATGTAAGTTTTTAATCTGAAGAATGATTACATTATTCAATGGTAACGTAGCAAGCATAGGGTCAAGTTAAAATGAGTTCATGCATCACTCATCCTGACATTCGTCTAGATCACCTGTAACATTTCAAACTTACATGGCACAAAAATGAAAGAAGGGACTGTTAAAGGAAAATGCGTTCTACATGCATTAGGTCCTCGCTCGAGAGACATTTGTGCAAAGCTTTAGACTAGATTGTTCGAACGGCGGAAGACGAAGCCATATGATAAGTCTACTGAAGCAGCTGGATAAGCGAATCATGAAGGTAAATGAACCAATGAAGAATATATGAACAGAAGACTTGGAATTGTTGCGTTTTTATATCTAGCCTGTTGAATTTGTTGAATAGGGAGGCCCAGAGCCAACCGAAATCATTTGACGATGCTGCATTTATAAGACGAAAGCATTAATAAGCTATGAAAAACAATGAACCACTAGTTAGTCCCATAACTGATGCACGTCTAGACTTTGAAGCTGTTAGTTCACTCCACAGAAGTGCTCCAGCATTTTAAATGATGACACGTATTATACGTTACGCCAGCAATAATTGTATCTTAAAAACTATCACAATCAGTATAATTATTCATTGACATAAAAATCACTGCACAGGCTGATATGGTTCGCCAGAATTCTAAACAAGTTCGAAATACCGCCAGATTTCTCAGCTTCTCTACAAGCCTCATACAAGAAAAGATTTTCGCAAAATGATCTAACTTCCTGGGCAATGAACCTGCATAATCTTCGACAATACCAATGTAAGGAAAATTGTCCACGCTTAATCTGCAGCTTTAACAGAATGAAAATTAAATGAAACTTGCACAGTAACAATTGATGGTCCTACAGCGATGTAGTGAAAGAAATTTCATGTGATGTTAAATTACTGGTATTGTGATTACTTGTATTCTTTGTGCATGGGGGAGTTTTTCAGATGGTTCACTCCGCACATAAGCTTTATTAAATAAGAGTTTGGTTCTTCACCAAACTGAATCAACCTTCAGGGGAACACCATTTAACAAGAAACGCAAAAACAATGCCAGCAATATGGGTGCTTACTGTGGAATGATCTTAAAGTACACATACGATCAATTAATTGTTGACACGTACTGTACATCAAGCTGACAGATCTAGACGTAATTCCTTGTTTTTCTTCCTCACCAACTCCTCAGTTGTTTTTCTTTGCAGATTAATGGCAACTTCTGGCCGTTGTCTCTATTCAGAAATTCGCACACTTGTACCAAGAGCGCACCTTTAATCTTCCATCTTCGGTAGTTTCAATCGCACCATATACCTTTCATGTTTTCCCAGTCACCGGTACGAGCCTTTTTCACTGCGTGTTCAATTAATGCGAAATTTCTTTCACATTCTCTTATTTCCCTCGAGACCTTCGCCTGTTTCCTCCTACGTTATTTTCGATCTTGTCGACGTACCTTACATCTGTATTGTTCCATCTTGTGAGGCAAGAGTGGTGATTGTTTTTATCTTCGAACCTGTTGCCGATTTACCAACGTACGTACGTATGCATTATAATATATACCCAGCTTATGTCCTCCTGGGTTTCGATTAGAGTAGGCTGGCTGCATAGCGCGAGTTGAAGAGCATGACATGACACACCAAGTTTACAAGCGTTTGTTCGTTCCTGAATAGTTCCTCCACTTCTTCTATGATGTGAATGTAAATGAAATATGTTTATTCTAGTCTGGCGGAGGGTCACTGTAGTTTTCAAGAAGTACTAGGATTATTTTACTTCTTCTAGTATCTTCAAAAGTGAAAATCAGATTTTCCATGAAGACATGTGACACTCCTGTCTGCAAAGTAACCGGTAACTCAGGGCTGCCTCGTGTCTGATCAGTGTTTTAAACTCGGGACAGTTTTACTGAGCACACGGTACGTAAAAGATAAAAATACATATGCAAAAAAACAATTTACCTGTGCATTCCTTTGGCGACCTTCATGAACCGCGTGCTACCGAGACTGAAATCAGCAACTTAATTGAGACGAAACGAAGTAACATACACAAAATCACGTAATACCTTGCTAGAAACTCCAAATCCTCGGTACCTGAGATGCATCGCTCTAACGACAGCGAGATCGCGGGCACGGCAGCCGACAGCTGGGCCCCCATTACGAACGCCGAACGATCGCTTGCTCGACGAAATCAACGGCTGTGGGTTGTTTATGATATCTGTAGCAAGGAATGCGGTTAACACAAAGGGGCACCAAATTAAATCCAGTCGTTATTAGCACAGGATAACGCCATAACTAGCGTAAGACAAAGCTGATAACACTATCGACTAAGAATATAGGCTCTGCACTCACGAGCCATAGCGATTATATAATCAGTGTGATAACGCCTTGAGAATCCTCTGAAACGACAAGAACATTTTGTAAGAATATCTACGCCGATGATCACAAGCAAAGCATATTTACACATCTACACGGTCTTTTGAATAAAGATGAAAAAGTTTTACTTGATACAATAAATGACACAATCTTGTTCAGAGGATCAATTTAGAATGTATGAGTTTGAAGCCATCATGCGAATGATGAAACTCATCAATTTTTCAATTTATATACGCAGATGTCAGAGTATAAGAGCGCATAAACTGCATAAAACGGTTTATTTATAAACAACATAAACAATAGGATAAATCGAATGACTAACGAGCATCGACGTTTCAGCTCATGTCTGGGATCTTCAACGCGGATCGCTATGATTTCCGAAGTTGTTTTTGTAGTCCAGTGCTGCTGTAACATTTGGAGAATCTGCAAAGTATAATCACCAACGCACGAACAACATACTCAATCTTCAGATAATCTGAAGGTATGTGAATATTTTGGTCAAGGATGGTCTTGTTGTCACCATCTTCCGTCTAGCATTTGTCATCTTCGACAGGTACCAACGAAAAGACTTCTGGATTTTTTACACAGCTTGCTGCGAAATTGTTTTGACAATGCACTTTTATATTAAAAATACTGATATCGGATTGAAAGGGAGAAAATACATTGACTAAAAAATCTATTTCTAAGTTTACACCAGCAGCACTGTTACACCACCCCTTAACTTTTTGAGCCTAAGGGCACCATTTAAGCAGGTCATGCCCTAGAGTTGAACAAATGTGTATTCAACTAAGATTGCCACGACCCGTAGGCGAATAAGTGACAAACTATAACCCCTAATGTTCTGGAGGAGCTTTGCAAATCTTTCCTGTAGACTAATAGAAGATTTAACATTTCTAGCCAATGGTCGCTATTCATAACATTTCCCGCAGTCTGGATCAGATACGTTTCTAACAAGACTCTTTAGATGATGCTGTTTGCTGCCACAATGGGTCTTGTTTTACTGGCAAATAGTAATACAATGATGGACAGTTTCAGAAGAAATTTTCAACTTTCTCAACATTTCTCCGTTGTATCACGACCTCTCGCTCACCAACTCTGACCATGTAATGTCTGATAAGTGCATGGTTAGACAATCATGCATGTCAAGCAATCGAACCGGTGCACCACATATCCTTCATCATGGGAAATCTGGTCTTTTGCCTTCATCAGTAGTGATCTTAACTTTCCTCTTGATTTGAGGGCAACTCTAAAGTTCACCGAAATCATGATCCACATGATGGATACAAACGGACCCGAAAACCAAGTTATACAGGTAGTTAATGCGGGTTCTTGCTTAGGTTCAACTCTGTCCAGTGCTATGCCTCAATGCCTTTCGGATAAAATTGCCTCTGTACTCATTCCAATTTAGTACGTCGTAAGTCTGCCTCAACCGGTTTCAGTGCTAGAACACAAATCATGTACTCGATTCATCAGGCATTTAACTAGCCCAGTCACAGAGGCAAAGGAATGGTCCGATTAGAAATTCCAACAGTGGTCGTCACTAGTGGGTTTTGTAGGATTTCATCCAATGATGCGCAAGTTTTCTGTACATCGACGTTTTCAAATCATGTTCGGTGACCAAGAGCAATAACAATGACGAACATAACTCCGAAAAGGGTTAATGAGATACAAACCTAAACGAAGGAAGTGATTTATTAAACTCAAATACTGCAAAACTGTGTAGTGCTAAGATAACCGCAATTCCACTGAGCATGTCACAGTATGTGTGATAAATTGTGTGGAACAGCTGACAGCCTATTCAGGTCCTAAATAGTGCCTTCAGTAAAATAAGGGAAGACAACAGTGCTTTACGTACGACCGCGCATGTTTGCGCAGTAGCGTATACTGGGTACCAACTCCTGACTCATCGTTCGTAATGATCAAGAAGTTTCTCTAGAGAATAAAATGATGCAATTCGCATCTAGCACTGCAGGTGATCAACTGTCATGGAATCATGGACCCTTAAAAGAGCTAGGAATAAGGGGACGGTGCAATGCTAGATGAAAGCCGGTCCGACAGTTGTAGTTTTTCGGCGGCCGTAGTATGAAAATTGATCATTCCTAGTCGACTAGACTTAACAAAGGCATACATGTCCAGAACCTCATATCAGTCATACCTAATTCCATTACATATACTTACAGCATTTGTACCGACACTGATATGCTCAAAATTTGTCCGTCAGATCTAAAACTCCTGTATAGATTTAAATGCCCCTTGGATAAAAGGAACACTGGTGCAAATAAAACATCAGACAAATAAAAGTAAAATCATTTTGAAAAAAGAACAAATGATAAGGAGATTAATATATCATAGCCGTAAATGATGAAGGCATTTGTCACTCCTCATATCTGACAATCATTATTCGACAATAATATTAAAATTTATATATGATGGCCTAACAGACAAAGGACGAAGCTACGCCTAAAACGAATCATGATAAGACACATGATAATTATTAGAGTACATATACTGAAAGGAGAGGGCTCATTTCCTCCGTATTAACAAAACAACACTGTAATAAAAAAGATTTGAGCTTTCACGCTCTGCGGCTGCTGCTAGATCTGTAGATATTTTGTTGATTCGTAGTTGACGACATCAAAAAGCAATGTTAAAAAAATATTGCAGTTATCATCAGTTTTGTTCACTGATGTCAACCAAGAATTAAGGAAACAACAACAAATAAAAAACAGCACACGTAACAAAAACAATGAGTCTACTCAATGACTCTGGTTTCATTTCATGCTTGAAACTAAAATTAGAAGAATTTAACCTCACAGAAATGACGTTCGATTAGGCGCGTATACAAAGCTGTCAGAAGATGGCAACAGTTCAACAAAACCTTTGCAACCATTGCCAAAATATTTTGCAGAAATTTCGTATTAAGAAAAATTTATCGGATTAATAAAATTTATGGTTATCGTAAAAAAGGATGATACACTAACAACAATATTTTAAGATGGCGATCACGAACATATTCACAGTACAGTAAACTATGGTAGCAATGATTTGCATGAAACATTAGAAATCAAACCGATGCAAGGAGACGAAATTGTGGGTAATTACACTGAATAGTTGGTAATAGGTGGATAAAGACGAACTGCAGCCATAAGGGGCGCTCATATCGGAAAACATTCCCACACAGCTTTTAATTCTAATGGGATAAGACAGCAGTACCATGCTATTCATATTATTCGCAAGTCAACGACATAATATCTTATGGTTGCTTAAACGGAGGTTAATTCCTTACTCGAGGTAATTCGCAGTTAAGATGAAGATTGTTCTATCAGCTGATATGAACCTGATATACTCCCTCCTTCCGGAGTTGGAAGCCAGAATCTCTGGATCTATTCCATTATACGTCACAAGAGAAAAAAGATATTGGACGAATGTCCCCATCTTTAGATTGACGTGCACAAATGTATAAGAAATGGAACAGCTAGTTTACTAGTAGTATAAATGTATTGTAAATAGATTTTTTTCAAACTGTAACAAAAGTTAGTGATTACAGATGGTAATGGAAAGTTAAGAAATTACCTAAAAGCAGTCGTCCCTATACTTCTAGCCGTCTAAAAGTTT